ACATCACTACGGTCATGGTTACTCTTGAAATAAAAGAAAATTAACTTTAATTATGTTGTTGTATCTTCAACTGCGCTCCGTTGTTTCTACAAATGAACTGGGTGGTTTTGTACAGAATATTATTTTCTTACGTTTAGTTAATAATTAATGATTGTGTATCCACATAGTAGTTAAGTTCATTTATTTCAAGAGTAACCATGACCGTAGTGATGTAAGCTTAATTATTTCAAGGGTAACCATTACCTTAGTAGTGTAAGTTCATTTATTTCAAGAGTAACCATGACCGTAGTGATGTAAGCTCATTTATTTCAAGAATAACCATGATCGTAGTGATGTAAGTTCATTTATTTCAAGAGTAACCATGACTGTAGTGATGTAAGCTTAATTATTTCAAGGGTAACCATTACCTTAGTAGTGTAAGTTCAAGTTGAAGATACAACAACATAAGTAAAGTTAATTTTCAGTTGAAGATACAACAACATAAGTAAAGTTAATCTTCAGTTGAAGATACAATAACATAAGTAAAGTTAATTTTCAGTTGAAGATACAACAACATAAGTAAAGTTAATTTTCAGTTGAAGATACAACAACATAAGTAAAGCTAATCTTCAGTTGAAGATACAACAACATAAGTAAAGTTAATCTTCAGTTGAAGATACAACAACATAAGTAAAGTTAATCGTCAGTTGAAGATACAACACCATAAGTAAAGTTAATTTTCAGTTGAAGATACAACAACATAAGTAAAGTTAATCTTCAGTTGAAGATACAACAACATAAGTAAAGTTAATTTTCAGTTGAAGATACAACAACATAAGTAAAGTTAATCTTCAGTTGAAGATACAACAACATAAGTAAAGTTCAGACTTACGAAGTTCATGTTTGTATACTTAAGTAGTCCCGTAATTAACGGGTTAACGTGTTAAGTTACACTTTGCAGCTCTACCAGAATCTGAGTTCGTTTCGATACAACGGATACCTAATTATACGTTGCACCAGGTGTCAAAAGAAATAGGTATTTCTACCAATGAGAAATAGACTCTACAAAACGGAGTGGTAGCCCATAGGCTTTTAAACACATTTTTCTGAACTATTTATGCATCAAACTTTGTTGTGGGTTACAGGATACCTAATAACACGCGAGTCACGCGAAATATGTAAACAGAAATACTCTGAATAATACAAATAGTCCTACTTATTACCGCTAATAACAGATAGAAACATAGAATTATTCTTTATGCTGCGATATATGAGCCTCATCCATAGTGAACTACATAGAAACAAGTCAATAACTGGAGGGTTCGGTAGAACATAGAAAATATATATTAATATTGTTAAGTAACATATTAAACTATTTGATTCTATAAGAGATATGTGAATAAGAATTACCTCAGAATTATAGATCCTGATGCTTCCGGATGGATACCCTTCACTTCCGGAACTTCCGTGATGTACTGAAGAACTGGAAGGGATACTGGCCTTTGATCACACTACATCCTCCATCCGTTTCAGTCGGGTGATTCTTTTCATTTCGTAAGCAGCCAATAAAACTTAATTAGCTCTGCTGACAATGGCTGTGAACACGGTTAACGATGCCCCTGTGACGCTTCTTCATCAACTGTCCAGTGAGAACACATGTCAGCTCCTTCGAACGTGCCGCACGCGCCTTGAAATCTCGCACGCGATCCGACAGCTTGCGCTCGCTGAGGGTGTAAAGGCAGTACTTCAAACGTGTTGCTATGATGTTGCTAATTTCCATACGATCACGCCTCTGTTTCCGCAATGTTTGTCTGGTAACGCCTGCGATATTAGGAAAAGCTCTGCTATTGGCTAAGATGAAAAGAACCCCCACTGCAACTGGACCAATAACAATCAAGAGCCCTAACAAAGAAAGTATCACACACACACACATATACACAGTTATAAAACAAACAGCACACCGTTTTGCAAAGTATTATGTTATACGGGACACTAGAAGATATTAAGAAAGTATAAAAAACATTTCTTTGAATTTCACCATTTTATTCTCTACGGTAATTGATAAAGACAATGTTCCTTCTACTAAAAAACGAACGATAATGTATATATATATATAAAACTGTGTCAAACGATAAACCTACGGACAAACCTCGTAGCTACGACTGAAAAGTGCCTATTTTTCTTTGATTAAATGTGCTGTTTTACTCAAATATATACGTGTAAAACCAGCTGAAGTATAGAGGGTGTTTATCTTTCAAGATTACTACCTTCATACTTATCATCTGGTATGACAATAGGGTGTGGGCGTGGCCTAGTATTTAGCATACGGGGCCGTGGATTGGAAGGTCCAAGATTCGAGCCTCGATATGCCGCGTAACACGCTCTGTACTTTCCGCTAGAGGCGATATAACAGTAACACTCAATCTTGTTATTCGGTTAAGAAAGCCGCATAGGCGGCGCGTGCTCCTTATTTTTTGCCTTCCATCTTGTAAACAGTTCTAAATTATAGATGTCTATTACTGAACCCTAGGGACTACGAACAGACAATTTAAGCCAGGCTTCGCATAATGTACTGTTCGGTTTGAAACACCGAAATAACGAACGATGCAAAAGAATAAAATGTGTAATTTTCATTAGCTTGACCTTCCCAAAACCGTAGTGAAGTCTTTCTATAAACTTTTGAAGCTGTACTCAATTTAGAAACGCTAAACTATTACGATGCCATGTAGATGTAGTTACCTTCCATTTCATAAAATGAGGACAGGACTTTATCTTGTGTTTTAATCGAGTACTGACCATATTGTTACCTTCCATTTCATAAAATGAGGACAGGACTTTATCTTGTGTTTTGATCGAGTACTGACCGTATTGTTACCTCTCGTTTCAGAAAATATACCCGCTACTCCGTTTTGTGTTTTTTGCAGACTCCACCTTACTTCATTTTCCTTTGAAGTTTGTGTAAATAGCGTAAAAGTATACGGTCTACTTGTGCTTGGGAAGTGAGGGGTTCAGCTCCCCAGATTTTTGAATATAATGCTTGTTATAAAACTTGTAATCTTTAAGAATTATATTTTATAGTTATCTAAATTATGTATGATCGTAATTGTAGCTAAACTTAAGAAATCAGTGGACGTGAGAGTAAGAAATCACCTAAGCTCAAAAATTAGATGTATCACAAAATAAGAATGAAACAGGACCTTCCTTCTTCAGGGTTCAATTATTAGTGAGACCTTTCTTCTTCAGGGTTCAAGTGTTAGTGAGACCTTTCTTCTTCAGGGTTCAAGTGTTAGTGAGACCTTTCTTCTTCTTCGGGATTCAATTGTTAATGAGACCTTCCTTCTTCAGGGTTAAATTGCTAGTGAGACCTTTCTTCTTCAGGGTTCAATTGTTAGTGAGACCTTTCTTCTTCAGGGTTCAAGTGTTAGTGAGACCTTTCTTCTTCAGGATTCAATTGCTAGTGAGACCTTTCTTCTTCAGGGTTCAATTATTAGTGAGACCTTTCTTCTTCAGGGTTCAATTGCTAGTGAGACCTTTCTTCTTCAGGGTTCAAGTGTTAGTGAGACCTTTCTTCTTCAGGATTCAATTGCTAGTGAGACCTTTCTTCTTCAGGGTTCCATTATTAGTGAGACCTTTCTTCTTCAGGGTTCAAGTGTTAGTGAGACCTTTCTTCTTCAGGATTCAATTGTTAGTGAGACCTTCCTTCTTCAGGGTTCAATTGTTAGTGAGACCTTCCTTCTTCAGGATTCAAGTGTTAGTGAGACCTTTCTTCTTCAGGATTCAAGTGTTAGTGAGACCTTTCTTCTTCAGGGTTCAGTCGCTAGTGAGACCTTTCTTCTTCAGAAAAGTTCCAGGTGTAACCGATGTATAGTTTGGGAATAAAATATAACGGTATACTCAATGAAATTATGCCGCTTGGGTGCTGCCAGTAGTAGTTATATTTTTAGTGTCACTTGTATGTAGGTGTTATAATTATAGCGATAGTGGGAAGGGATCTCACCCAAATTCAAAAGGATAACGGTAGCATCTGGCTACCGTATTTTTGAAATTTAAACACATCAAAACTGAATACGCTTATACGTTTTTTGCTTAAATTCACTAGTTATACTAAACCTTTTTTTTTTGTTTTTACGAATTTGTTACCGGATTATGCAATACACACACCTATGCCTGAAATGTCTGTAAACATGGGTACTTCAACTATCAAACGATTTATTTGTTTTGGAATTTCGAGAGCTTCTGCGTTAGCCATCACTAATAAACGTGGGTACTTCAACTATCAAACGATTTATTTGTCTTGGAATTTCGAGAGCTTCTGCGTTAGCCATCACTGATAAACATGGGTACTTCAACTATCAAACGATTTATTTGTCTTGGAATTTCGAGAGCTTCTGCGTTAGCCATCACTAATAAACGTGGGTACTTCAACTATCAAACGATTTATTTGTCTTGGAATTTCGAGAGCTTCTGCGTTAGCCATCACCAATAAACATGGGTACTTCAACTATCAAACGATTTATTTGTCTTGGAATTTCGAGAGCTTCTGCGTTAGCCATCACTAATAAACGTGGGTACTTTAACTATCAAACGATTTATTTGTCTTGGAATTTCAAGAGCTTCTGCGTTAGCCATCACTAATAAACGTGGGTACTTCAACTATCAAATGATTTATTTGTCTTGGAATTTCGAGAGTTTCTGCGTTAGCCATCACTAATAAACGTGGGTACTTTAACTATCAAACGATTTATTTGTCTTGGAATTTCATCACAGCTGAAAGGGCGAGAATGTTCGATGACGGGTTTAGATCCCGGAACCAACACAATGCGAGTCAGGTACTTTAACCACCAGGCCATAATATGCCAGTATCAATCGAATAATGTAAATCTTTTAAAATAAAGTCTTAATAACATAGGAACGAAAACTCATAATCCGAGTATAAGACAGGTTCACAGTCATCTAAAAAAAAAAAGAAAAAAAAACCATGCCCTTTTTATATATTTGGTACGTTTTCAGTTTTTCGAGCAGAATGTTTTATTTGTTTACTATCTACCCCTGGTGGAAGTAAGGCCAACTATCTACTACTAGTGGAAGTAAGTCCAACTTTCCGATCTAGTTATACGGTTTCTTTTTTCATGCGAACTTTTTTTCTGTTGTTCTTGCGTGCATTGGAATATAATGAATGTTTTAGTTGTCAGGTGGCGCTGAGTTCAAGCTGAATGTGTAGCACTCATCTGTCTTCAGCTTATAACGTTATCTAACTTGGTAATAAAAGCATTACGACACTAATGACAAACAACCTTGTTTAATTATTTAAAAAGGGATACAGATAAAAGTTTCGGAATTCTACAGATTCCATCTTGGGTATCTGAAGCAAAATATCAACAGCTTCTTGGACATATTTAAAATCACAATACTACATTTCACAATAAAAATATTACAATTAAAATTAACAATAATTAAACAAAACGCATGGAAATTGAGCAAGAGGAGAAATTAGAAGAAGGGTTGATGTAAATTGTTGATTTTTTGCTTTAGATGCTGAATGAGAAACTTGTAGAGTTCCAAAACGTTTACCTGTGCCCATTTGAAATATGTGAACAATAAGTGTCGTGATCGTTTTTATTACTAAACCTCGTTTTCCTTCGAACACATCTAATTTGTATGATTACTAAATCTTATTAGGCCTAATGAATACATTGTTATCAGCAGGAGATATTTGTCATAGTATTACTTGAAATGCACGGTGGAGAAAGGCGTACAGATAGGTCGGTGTTAGATATGGTGTTTGGTATGGTCCTGAGAATTCATTTAGCATGAGCAGGATGCCATGTTTGGTACTGTCCTGAAAAGTCATTTAGCATGAGCAGGGTGCCATGTTTGGTATGGTCCTGAGAAGTCATTTAGCATGAGCAGGGTGTCATGTTTGGTATAATCCTGAGAAGTCATTTAGCATGGGCAGGGTGCCATGTTTGGTATAATCCTGAGAAGTCATTTAGCATGAGCAGGGTGCCATGTTTGGTATGGTTCTGAGAAGTCATTTAGCATGAGTAGGGTGTCATGTTTGGTATGG